GCCCAAAGGGGCGCCTCAGCACAGGGGGCGGGTCTTCGCCGCCGCCGCCGGCCTCCATCTTGGGCCGCTCCGGCAGTGACGCCAGGGCGGGGGCGGGAAGCGCGGCGGCCGTTACGGCCGTTGGCGTGAGGGGCGGCGACCCCCTGTGTGGGGTCGGAGGGAGGCGGCGGGAGGGCGGGCGGCCGCAGGGCCTCCTCCGGGGTTCGGCTGTCGCTGGTCGTAGCCTTGCCAAGCCCGTGGTCGGTCGGAAAGCGAGTCCGAGCGGCTGGTCCCCGCGGCGGTGCCCGGGTGCCGGGGCGGGAGCGGGGGGGGGCAGAGCGCTGGGCGCTGCTGGAGCACGGCTGCCGCAAAGGATCGCCCGGGTAATGGCCCAGTAATATATTATAAATCAACAGGATCGTAAATCGCACTAATCCCCGTTGGAAGTCGTGAACAGTGTGATGTAAATCCGAGTGCCGGAGTGAGGACTGTTTCATCAAAATAATTAAGAAAAACGGGAACACTGGGTGCATATAAATGCTTTGCTCCTCACATTTTGCTGCCCAGATGCTCTTGAGGACAGATGTTAGGAAAATCTCACCTTTCGTAACACAGAGCAGTGGTTTAGATGGGATAGGAGTCAAATAACAAGGCTCTCGAGAGGTTTCAAGACCCATAGGAATCCTGTAATACTGGATACTGCAACTCTTAACTGAAAATAATAACCATATTTACAAGACAAACTAGCTAAAAGTTAAATTAATAAAATTGGTAAATAGACTGTTTCAGCTCTGTAGCTGAATTCTGCATAACTAGATAAAAAGTCACGTCAGCACATTTCTGCAAACAAAACCTTGAGACTTGCTAGATTAGTATTGCTTTCTTGTTTATTCACGTGGACAAACTCAAAACTACTAAATTATATTGACAGATTCATCTTAGGTCTGGTCGTTGTAAAAATGCTGTGAATATATATACTGTATCTTTTGGGGTGTGCTCATTGAATAAGTAACATGGCTTTTAAAATTGAAATTTGTTTCTAATAGTAATGATGTATTAGGCTAATTAGATGATACGTGTAGTACTTACCAATCCTGTGGATTCTTGGACAAAATCATGTATGGCATAATGTTCCTACCGAGGCAAAAATCCCATTGACTACAGAATGGAAGTACCTGTCCCATATGGCACCTGATTTTCTTTATGGTGTAATTAAATGTAGAAGTATTCAATAAAAGCTCAGATTATTATGTGGTAGATTGAAGAAAAGGAATAATTTCAGTATGTGGGCTTTACTTACCAAAATCAAATTTATAGTCCTTCTAGTTACAGGTAGATTAAAGTTCAAAACCCAAACATTTAATAACCTGATTATACTTTTCCTTTTAGAAGGCAATCTGAGTATTTGCATGAAAACAGTGAGTATGAGAAATATGTCAAATTTTCACTTACCATGTGTAGTCTTTGCATATTGTGTGGCATTTATCAACATAAATCTTTGCAGATACTTCCTCTGTAGTTTTATGTTGAGAAAACAGGAAAAGCAAAAAGAATGGAATATAGGCTGCAGATAAATAATTATGTATTTTATCAGTAAACCTTAAAATATGTCAGGTCATCCTAAGGGTAGAAACTAATTGGTAGAAGCTAATCAGGGTACAAGCTAGACTTGATCTGAACTGCACTGTTTTTAAGCAGTTCTAAACCTGTTGAGTAACTAATGCCCTTTGAAATGAGTGGAAAAAAACTGGGGTAAGTCTTAATAAAATAATAGATCTTCTGCATATATAGTCTAATTCATACAGTGTTATAGCAGGTTTAACTCAGTAGACGTACATCAGTTTAACTAGTGTAATGATGAACCCTAAAAGTACATAAGACTAAGTTTTTTCAATTTATTTAATTATCACCACTTTTTCTTACATTTGGTTTCAGTTGTAGCTGCTGAAGTAATGGAGAATTTGACTTAATCAGTGCATTCTACCATTAGAAGAAAAACAGCACTGGCTCTTCATTTGTCATGTAACCTGATATGTAGATACACTGTGTTGTATAATCTACCTGGATATGTTATCTTTTCACAAAGGGGCTGCTAACAATAATTTATCAGGAAAAAATGACTATGTTTTCCTAAATATCCTATCGTCTGTTTTATAGATGAGTGAGGTTCTAGAGACAAGGAAAGCAAGGGTTCTGGTTATTCTTTATTACTGTGCATTGAGTTTTGAGTAAATTCAGCCTAAAAGATACAAGAATGGAACAATTTTATTTTTTTTTTTCTCTGCAGAAAGCCGGGCCTTCATTTACATCTAAATTTCATGTGAGCAATGTCATAGTGAGTAGAAATTGTTTTCCCAGCCTTAGAACATGTGTCGTGTAAGGGCCAACCACATCATAGTCCTTAGTGACTGGTGATTATTTTTTATTTAGTTCGGTTGAGTATTTTGAAGTTAACAGCTCGTGGGAGCCTCTGAGCTCTGCTTTCTTAGCGATGAAATAGAGGTTTCTTTGTTTTATTTCCTTTGAGTGAAATGATTACCTCAGCCTTCACTTCTATGCTAGTGATTCAAATAAGAAACAAAGGAAATCTTCTTGTACTTTCTTTGCAAAAGCTATTCATAGGAAATATCTTTGATTTAAACATAGCAATTAAATAAATATGTATGCTTGAAAAGGTTAAGATCTGTTAGTGTTACTAAACTGAAGACTCCTGTTTACCTACAGAGTAGGTATTGTGCAAAGAGCTGAAATAAGAGCTTCCTTTCCCTGACTCACTATTGACCTTAACCTAGACCATGTTCAGTGTTTGTAGAGCTGAGATGTTTTCTGTGATCTTTTCACAGAGCTTCTCTGATTCAGAAATTATTAATCCGTTAAAGAGTAGATAACGATCAGGAGCTGAACGGAGACTGTTACAAAATGAACAACATAATTAAAGCATCTAAACAACGGGCCTGCTATGGGTAGTTAATTCTTGCAAGTAAAAGTTTAATCCCTGCAGAAATGTTAGGAAGTATTTTAAAATGTGGTACTTGATCTGATAAATTTAGTTAACAGTCTGTGAAAGGAATTGTGAATTTGAAGATTCTGTGAAGGAAATGTACAAAGGGTACAGTTTGCAGTGTTTTTTGTTAAATGTATTTCTGGTCTCTTGCATAAAGTGAATTCTTCCCACATTTTCAGAAAGTAGCTTCAGCAACTTCATGCTCTTTTCTTTTAAATAAGAAAGAATGCTTTGTAAGTTATTTGAATGTGTTTAAATATTCAGGTTTTGCAGTAGCAAATGAAAGGTGAAATTTGCAATCTAATTGGATATTTTAAAAATAATTTTCATGTTGCTTGCTGAGTATTTGCTATTTACTGATTAGTTGTTTTTATGTTGATTACAGGTAACTCTTAATGACACACACAAGTGGTAGCTTTTTACATTCCTTGACTGGGTACATCTAAATTTTAGAATTAGACTTCCCAGTTAAATTCTTACTTCTAGAAAGTCAAATTAGTTTTCTAGTATTCTAGCAAATATTCGTAACTTTTTCCCCATGACAGAAGTCAATAGCTAAATGAGCCCAAATGTAGTCTGTTCACAAAAGACCTGACTGGAATTTTCTTCATTTCTTATCTAAGTAGGGCTGGCTCCTCTCTCCATATGTTCATTTTTAGCTGAAGGAGGTTGGCTACAGTGTATGCATATTCTTCATTTTGAGAAGTAATTGTGCAATATACTCTGTGCTTTCTGTTCATGAACTAAGAAATACTAAAGTGAGTAGTAATCTGCTGCTTATCTTC